CAAACTACAAACAGTAAAATACAAAACCAAAATATATATTTGCTCAAGTATTCCTAAACATGTTGCTCTTTGTTAGAGACTCCACCAGAGTGATAACGAGTGAAACTTACTGATTTGTAGTTTTTGTCAGGCATGTTGATGCAAGCCTGTAGTCCCAGCTACGTGGGAGGCTGAAGCTGAAGGATCACTTGAGCCGAGAGTTCTGAGCTACAGTGCATTATCCTGATCGGGTGTCTGAGTAGTGACTTGTAGTTTCCTCTTTTTAAATTTAAATATGTATGCATTAAGAAATGGGGTATACACCAGATGTGGAGGGGGTGAGAGGATTCACCAGAGACAGGGTAGGAAGCAGAACAGGCAGATCTACTGAAAAACATTGTTGAGAGCAGAGAGGAGCAATGGGCAGGAGAGGAGAGGTCTGCTGCACCAAATAGGTCAGCTCCCTGGTCAGGGATTGAACTTGAGCTGCAACAGCTGAGGATAGCTCTATAGCTCTGTTTTTAACCCCTGCGTCACCAGGGAGGCCCCACAATTTAGCACTCTTAACCATGATGGCTGATTTTAATCAAAAGTTAGTTTGGCCTCCGGTTCCAAGAAGGGTTATTTTTTCCTGATAATTTATTTTTATGTAGGATGCCATTAAATTGTAGAATATTTCACATGGTACAATGTTTCTCAAAATATATTTCTTCCAATTGTTTTGCTGTCTGTGAGACATGGTTATTTTAGTTGAGCTTGCTCTGTCTTTTTATTTTAGTTGAGCTTTCTCTGTCTTTTTAAAGTCTCTGGGCCATCACTTATTCAACACCTTCCATCTTGAATGCCTGTCTTTCCCAATTCCACCCCTCTAAGTGTTATCCATTTATTAGGACCCTCTAAATAACCATGCTAGAGTTCAACAGTCCATTTTGCTATGTCCTCAGTGATCTGTGCAAGTGCCCATTTATTCATATAAAAATATATATATTGAGTACCTACCGTATGTCAGGTTCTGTTCTAGGATCTGGAGGTTCTGTCTTTATGAGACAGAGGAGATAAAAATCCTCATCCTTGTGATACTGATATTCTAGTAAAGAAGATAGGGCCCTTCCTGGCAGCACAACAGGGTAAAGTTCAGCACCACAAACTAGCTGCAGCCACATCAGCTGGAGTTGGATCCTGGCCAGGGACATGACCTGCTTGCTGCTCCCCTCAGCAATGTACTTAATCTGCCTGTTCTGCTCCCCACTCTGTCTCTGGTGAATCCTCTCACAGCCCCTGCACCTCTGGCCTATACCCCAGTTTTGTATGCATAAATAAATAAATCCTTTAAAAAAAAAGACAGTAAGTAGTAAACAAATAAATAAGAAATATACATGACATGTTAGAAAGAGAAATAGGTCTGGGGGTGGGTGTTTTCCCATTTAAACAGAGTGAAGGAAGAACTTTGAGAACACAGGGAGAGATAAGCAAGTCAGAGGTCAGGCTGCCTGAGAGGGGAGCATGACTGTCGGTAATGCCAGGCGGGTTAGAGGGAGAAGCAGTAGGAAAGGAAGAGGCCATCAAGGCTGAGACAGGAAAGTGGGGAAGAGGTCAGAGGTTAAGGTTAAGTCCATCTGGCCTTTCAGGCCTTGATAAAGCATGGCCTGCTTGCATTTAGTGAAATGGGAAGTAACTACAGAGTTGTTGTTTTTAATGCTGTATTTTAGTTTATTGTTCTTGTTCATAAATGGGCAGTACAATACAAATATAAATAATATTTCTTAAGATATGGCTTGTTAGATACTTTTAAACCCTTACCCCCCTTTTTAAAAAAAAAGTTTATTTTTACACCATTTTATGCCTTTCCCATCTCAGTTGCTATCCCCGTGGGCTTCCCATCACCAGTTCACCCCTGTGCCATCACCACAGTCCAGTGCACTTCCCTCCCCCCACCGTTTTTGATTCCATTCCCCACTCTACCCCCATAAAATGTCTCTGGTATATAGTTGCTCATTATTATTATTATTTTCTCGCCTGGTCCGTTATACTTCTGCTATGAGTGAGGCAATCTGGTATTTTTCCTTTTCTTTCTGGCTTATTTCACTAAGCATGATCTTTTCCAGCTCCATGCATGTAGCTGTAAAAGGCATTTTTTTTTTGGTCGCTGAGTAATATTCCATTGTGTGTCTGTACAACATCTTTTTAATTCAGTCATCCAGTAACTGCCGAGTTTTAAGACGGAGGAGAAACATAATCTGTTGTATATTTTTGAAGCAGTTCTCATGCTCAGTGTGAAGATTAATGAAATCCAGACGCTCTTTCAATAATTCAATGGACACATGATGGTGGTTTTAACCACGATGGCAGGTGTGGAAAACATAAAATTAACATTTGTTTAATTCAAATCGTGGCACTGATTACAGTTTGCACTGAATGCAACACTAATGTGTTTCTGTGTGGGTTTTTCCAGCCGGGGTTTCAGGGTAAGTAAGGAGGGTAGAGGGAGGGATGGTTTGAGGTTACCAAGGAGACATAACGTCATGGATCTGAAAACTGGAGATGGTTCTAGGCCTTCAGGCCTCTGGCGCAGCAATAATTCTGCGGTCAAGCCCACCAGCTGCTTCCCACTAACCATGCGCAACAGGCCAGGACGGGAGCCTATGGAAAACACTAGACTTTTGCAAACCCGGACAAGCGCTTCCCGGGAATCGTAGTTCTGCACCCTTGCACAGGCGCAATGAGTAACAATCGGCTTGCGCGCGCATCTTCTGCAGGACCAATTTCTAGAAGCTCATTGCGGTGGCGCTTTGGTCCTGGCTGGCTGCAGGTCCTGACGCAGGTATTGGTTGTCCCGGTTTCCTACTTTGGGGGCCCGCAGGAGTTGGAGTTGCCAGTTCCGAGGGCGCACCTGGGGCTGGTGGGGGCTGAGGGCAGCAGACCGATCTGGCTTTGCATTCGCTTTGCTGCCTTGGGAGATCGGCGAGCTCCTGAATGAAGGAGATTTCCTCCGACGCTGCTCCATCCCCTCTCTGAGCGCAGTGTCTCTTAACTTCGGTACTTTGTGTTAGCGGGAAAATTCCTTGGGTGTGCTTTGGGCGGAGTGGGGCTGCCCGCTGTCTTGCAGGATGTTCAGCGGCATTTCCCGGGAATCGTAGTTCTGTACCGGCAGCATCCCTCCTTCCCCAGCCACGGTAACCAAGAATGTCCTCAGACATTGCTGCGTGTCCCCTATGGGCAACCTTCACGTCCCGCCCTCCTTTTAAGAACTTCTTTCTACCTGCGTCACATTTTCACAGAGCTTCATTTGTAATCTCCCTGGGGATCTAGATGCATGTTTTATTGCAGAGTCCCAGTTGACAGCAGGGCGCCAGGTAAGTAGTAGACACCTAAGTATGGCAGAAGAATAAATGGCTTCATGCACGCTGTGTTCCCAGCTCTGTATTTGGCTGTGTAATTATTGGTATCTTAATTGCAATATAATTATCACTTGCATTGTAGCACATCTTAGTCTATATGGCTATTTTTCCTGGGTGCTCTGTGAAAGGGGGACCCCTTGTCTACCTCCACAGCACCCCAGTTCATGAGGATGAAAGAATCTGCAAAATTTCACTTAGGATCTGAGAGCTTCACACCAGAAATGACAGGTGAAAGGAGTTGGGTTTAAAAAAAGAAAAAGAGTGAAAGTATACAGCAGTGTGAGAATGGGGAGATACATTTTTATGGCTGCAGCATCCATCCGGGCAGCTGGAGCTTAAGAGGTGACATCATCAGTGCAAGCTATGCCCATTATCATGCATGACCTTTACATTTGGATTTTGAGAGTATTGGGGAGTGATAGGAACATATATTTCATATTTGAGGAAATGAATAGGTCACGGTGTGAACCTGAATTGAAGAAACTATATGTCTGGTTTTGTGCCAGGAATAGAATGGGGAGGTTCTTTGGAATTAAAGCTACCAGAACCTGGTGACTGATTATGTGAGAAATCTAAGAGTCAAATATGAAGTCAGACTGCTGAGATGAACCACTGGTGGGAAGTGTGTGGATGTGTACTGAGAGCCGGGGGCGTTGAATACATTTGTGGCAGGACCCTATTTAGTTTGAAAGTACTATTTCCTGGGTGTACACTTGTAATTACCCTGAAGTAACAGCCGGACTTTTCACCTACAAGAAAACTACTATGTTATTCTTTAACATAGTAGTTGGGCAGGGCTGTTCTAGCTTCTGAAAGTTATGTGTATGTTTATCTGTATTTGAACCAAACCAAGAACAGTATTGTCAGTTAACTTGCTTCACTTATTTAATCTTCTTAATAGTTTCTTCAAGACCATAAACTAAATTCTTGGAACCTTGCATATTTTTGTCGTCTCTAGTCCCTCTTGGTGGAATACACTGATACTTGAGGAGCAGCTACAGAGGACTGGATTCCTGAACAAGATGACCACCCCTTCCCCAGACCCTCAAACTCTGGTCTTAAGTGAACAAAACGCGGTCCTAAAAATGGATGCTTGTGGGGATGAAGACACCATCTTAAGAGGATACACCACTGACCCAGAGTCTTTCAGACAGAGGTTCAGAAAGTTTTCTTACTCAGAAGTGTCTGGACCCAGAAAAACCCTGAATCAGCTATGGGAGCTCTGCATTGGATGGCTGAGGCCAGATATCCACACAAAAGAACAGATTTTAGAGCTTCTGGTCTTTGAGCAATTCCTGACCATTTTGCCTGGGGAGATCAGGATTTGGGTAAAGTCACAGCATCCTGAGAGTAGTGAGGAGGTGGTGACCCTAGTAGAGGATTTGACTCAAATGCTTGAAGAAAAGGAAGGTGAGTTTATAGACGCAGGATGTCTATGGGGCACCTCACGAGGTACGAAAGTGGTCTAGCCAAAAGAAAGCAATTTATTATGAGATATGAGTCTCTGCGTGGTTGACACTGGGTTTGAGTCGGCCCTGTCTTGAACTCGGCTCTTGGGCAAGCTATGCTATCTCTCAGAACTTTAATTTTTTTTTATGTATTTTTTGGTATTTTAAAAAAAGATTTATTTTTTTTTATGCATACAGAACTGGGGTAAAGGCCAGAGGTGCAGGGGCGGTGAGAAGCTTTACCTGAGACAAGAGTACAGGGCAGAACAGGCAGGTCAATGAAGTACACTGCTGAGGGGAGCAGTGGGTGGGTCAGGAGAAGTCAGCCGCTACATGTGGATCACCTCCTGGGCAGGCGGGGATCGAGCTCATGCTGACATGGCTTTAGCGTCTTAGTGCTGTGCTTTAACCTGCTGTGCCATCAGGGAGGGTCCTAATTTCTTTAATTATAAAGGGGATACCATCTTTTCTGCAGTTCTGCTGTGAGAATTACAGGATCTGAAATGATGAAAATGTATTGCTCTGTGCCTCAGATTAAGCACGTGAAAGATGACTAGTGCCAACAGAATTGAATTTCTAATTAATTTAAATTCAGCTGTCTATGGCAAACAGCTGTCTTACTGGATAGTGCATTTCCAGCACCTTCAGGAAGAAAGAGCTGAATTACATTTTTCATAATTACATTATTATTAATTATGCATAGATAGAAGATGGATTGTAACAATGCTGGCATTATAAAATACTGATTAAAAGACTAGGGAAGCTAACCATTTGAGGCCATGTGCTCAACTCTTCTACAGTTTCTCTAGTAATACTACAAATATTTGTCCCTGTTATGGTACTTTCTAAATGAAGGCCTCTGTGGAGGCCCCTGTGGGAAAGAAGTTCCTGGTTAGAGTGCTCTTGCATTCTTTGAGATAGAACAGTTTCCTTAATCTCTTTTCTCTTTGATTACATATGTTTCTTAATTTCTGTGCTTATCTAATCAGCTGCCTAAGACTCTTTTCATGAGAAAGTAAGTAGAGTATGATTATAAAAATTACTTTTTTTAGAGCTGTCAGTAGCTCATGTGTTCCGATTTTTTATTTCCATCTTTAGGAATTTGCTCGTCACCCCAAAGGTAGAATCTGTTCTTGAGATCAGCTTGGTACTTTCATGCAATAAGTTTCTTTTTGTCTGTTTCAGAAAGGTTAAGGGCTGTATAGAGTACTTCAACTGTTTCTAGCTGGGAATGCAGGGGTAATATGATGAATTCTAAAAATGGGTCCTGAAAATATATTTTTCTGCAAACAAAGCACTATGAGAAACAGTGCTTAACTGAGGAAAGCAAGACATTTTTTTAAAAAGTTGATACATTTAAAAATGCTTTTACTTTAACACATCTCAAATATTTTTAAAATAATTATGTGAGTTAATTACTTTAAAACAGGTGGCATTAGATAAATGGAATTTTTTATAAGCTTAGGAATTCAATGAATGTTTTATGGGGTAGAGAGAAAGGCTTGGATTTTAATAGAAAATTTATCTATGACTGTTCTAAAGAATAGGAAAACTTCTGTTTCTTCTACATTTTACTCTAGAGAGATATGAGACTTAGGAAAGAATTTCTAGTTTAAGAAATCCATTTGAAAAACTGGTCTTTTTTTTTTCTCCCCTTCCTAGATCTGATCTCTCAACAATCTGTTATTTCTCAAGAGGAGACCCCTGAAGGAGATAAAATGGTTTCCGTCCTTCCACATAGTGAGTCTTGGGTAAGCTTCCGCCCTCAGTGAATACTTGGGTGAGCTGCTATTGAGTGGTGGAAAGTACTAGAATAGTGAAGAGTCTCCTTTTCAGATTCTTCACATCCTTACTCCTCATTCTTCAACTCTATTTTATTTCGGTTACCAAAATTGGCCACAAGTCTGTCTCTAATAAAAACAAACAAAACTTACTAAAATTCAGCAGGTACTGCTGATAAAATTAGTTCTGTAGAAACAGCATTGTATCTCCTTAGCCTGATTTAAAACATCTCCAACTGGTTAGTGTTGGATGAAAAAAAGGCAGTCTTTTATTCTAGCCATTGCAGTAAGACAAGAAAGAAATTACATCATGGAAGAGGCAAATGTGGATTATTTGCAAGTAATACAGTCTTTGGAAAGCCTCAGAGAATCAACAAGACTGAAACTCATAGTAGTTGAGAAAAGCTGCTGGTTATAATCCCGTATGTTTCCTACATACAAATAACTAGATCAGTGGGGAAAAAAGCACTTTTTACTCACAGTAGGGAATAGTGGTACAGCAGTTGGCTACTCATGGCTCCAGAAAGTATGTCCACTTAGAATCCCTGGAACCTGTGAAGGTACTTGGAAAAGTTCTTCTGCAGATGTGCTTAAGGAGTTGGAAATGAGGCAGTTTTCCTGGATTATATGGGTGGACATCAGTGTCCTTTTAAGAGAGGGCAGAGGGAGATTAAGCATAGGAACAGGAAAAGGCATTGTGAGGACAGAGGAAGAGGTTGGGGATATGGCCACAAACCAAGGAGTGGCAAGGAATGCTGGTGTGGCAGCTACCAGAAACTGCTAGAGGCAGGGAACAGATTCTTCCCTGGAGCCTTGGAAGGGAATGCAGCTCTGCAAACACCTTGACTTTAGACTTCTGGCTCCAGAATTGTGAGAAAACACATCTCTGTTCTTTTTCCACTGTTATGGGAATTTGTTGCATGCCCACAGGAAGCTAAGACAAGTGTTAATAGCCACTGTGCTAGCCGCTCTCGCCAAAGGCCATGCAGAAGATACTATATTATTACTGATAATCAACTGGGAATTAAAATTTGAAATGTTGTCACTGATACTACCCTAATGTGTTCAGTTATTAGCTGTAGTTGGCTTGCATTAGTTCTGCAAATTTGGGGTCTAGAAAGGTAAATTCTATCCTTCAATTAGTATTTTT